AGGAGTAAACCACCACTCAAACCAGTGGGATCTACAATTGAACATCTATTGTCAAAGCCCAGTTTTCTAACAACAGATTTAACAAAAGGAGAACATTTTTTAGTTTCAGACAAAAATAGAAAAGTTGGGTGGTGAGCTCTTAGAGACTCTCTGATTTGGGAAACTGTAGAGGGCCCACCCAGCCCTCTACAATTCCACACCACGGCTAGCATTGATCACTTGGGTGCCATTCGAGGCTGGCCACCCCCACCTGAGTAGTGTCTGTCTTTTGTTTTTTGTTCTCCTCAGAAGATTGAAGTGTCTCCTCTGGGTCCTGAGGATTGCCCAGAGAAGCTCTTGGTCTCTTGGTACATGACTCAGTCTCCATGGCAAGAGAATCCATGGGTTGTCTTTCCAGTCTGCCCAACCTAGATGTTGCTCTCTTCCATAATTTTTGATGAGATTGTTTTGAGACTGATGGAGTAGGTGGCAGCTGCATTATAGACAAAGTTGGTGCAGAAGGAGCTTCTAAATCCATCTGGTTGTTAGAAGCTTGAATTTGCAAAAGCTGGGTGTTATCTGCAGATAAGTCATGTGGAGTTGCAGGGCAAATTTCGAGAGGACCTGTTATGGGTGCTAGAGAAGTTTGATTAGCTTGAGAGGTTGATGCTTCTGAAACTGCATTTGGGTGAGGCGAAGGAGAGCCCACTATAGATAACATATTACTGCTGTCTCGGTTGGGTGAGGGTGGGTTCTCTGGAGAATTGGAGGGAACAGGAGAAGATGGATTATTTGTGCGTGGAGAGCTCTGCGAACCTGAGGAGTTTAACCCAGCCCAATGATTGCTTTCTGTAGCTCTCATCCAAGCCTCATATTGTCCTTCCTTCAACGAATGAGATCGAATATCCTCCATTCTTTTAGTGCAAGATCTTTCTAAATGGCCGATAAAACCGCAGTAGAAATAGTGGTTGACTAGGCGTTCATACTTAAATCTAACATTGACTGATTGATCATCGAGATTGAGGTTAAAACAACGAGGAAGGGGTTCATTAAGATCAATAGATACCAGAAGTCTCATAATTCGACCACCATGACTACCTGCTCCAACAATAACTACATTGTGTACTTCTTTAAAAACTTGTCCTATTCTCATACCAACCTCCGTGCTAAGCCAATCTAAAGGTACATTGAATACCTGAATCCAGAGCTTGAGCTCCTGAAAGGAGATGTGATTGATCGTCAGGCCTCTCTGCCATTCTGATAGCACAAGATATTGGTTTTCGTACGTCCAGTTGATTCCTTTCGACACCCTTTCCTTGTCCTCCATGCTTTGGAAGATGAATTGGTAGAAGTTGGGTCCAAGGTCTTTAATTTCCATAGGTTGTGTGAGCTTCCAGATATGAACCATAGCTCTTTTAACTCCTATCCAACTGGTATGTCGGTCGCTGATAATTTTGCCAAATAAGCTTCTCTGGCATTCTTCCGCACTGACCTTGATATCTTCACGCTTG